CTAAGAGGAACGGGATTTGTACTCACAAGTAAAGCCATTTATTGAAACCATACAGTGGATTTTTCAGAAGTCATTTATCTTTTTCCGTTTTCGAGATATCCAGCTGGGGAGTTTTAAACGGGACACCCTGTATTTCTCTCAAATGCTCAAGATATTATTTTAAAATGTTTTCACCCTATTTTAGAGGTACATGGGTTCTTGAAATGCAGATTCGGATTAAGCATCAAAAAATCTCTGGTACAGACTTATTTTTTTGTGGCTGTGTTATTTATTAATCAGCCATTTGGGAAATTTTTGAAAAATATCTGGAAATCTGTACTAAACGTATAGGTATTTATTGTCGCCACTGAAAAGTATTATTTTACTACATACCTCGCACCGCGAAAAAGAGGAAAATGTTAATCCGGTGGCTGTAGAGATCTGGCAAAAGAATTTTAAGTTTTTTTAAAAGCAAACCAAATTGTTTGAAATTTTATATCGATAAGTTGCTCATTGCATGATTTTTTTAGAAATAAACAAAAACCTGTTTAAAATTCAATACCGTTTTTTTTTATAGGTTAATATAGCCCTGATACTGGGAGATCACTTTAACCTTTAATCTAACTGGAGGGTATCTTTGCAAACATAAATACTGTGCAAATAATTTGTAGCGTTTTATATTTTTCTATATTTTATTAAGTATGTATATGAAGGAGAAAATTAAATCATTTACGTATTACAACATTTATAAATAATAAAATTTTGAGTATTTTAAAAAGGTACAGGTAGGTAAACCAAATTTATTTCAACCCTGAAGATGCAGAGTGTGGAGCGGAGCCCCTATGGGTTTCCAGCTGCTTGCAGTTCCATCTCTTTTTACATTGCGCGCTCTCTTTGTGATTTCGCATTTCAGGGTCTAATAAAATTTGTCAGTTGTTCAGTTGTTCACTGAAAGAAATTGACTTATTAAACTACATATTTATCTAGACTAAAAGGGCATATTAAAACTTTTATAATAAACATACAACTTTTATTTAAAAATAAAAGAATATCGCTGTATTGTACTTTTTTGTGTTACACTACAAACAAATTTTATCTTTATACTGTGAATTGAACATGCTATTTTCTGGAAGTACTTTATTTGCCGCTCACTATAGGTATTTTTATTGTCATACTTGATGACATTGATTAACTGACACCTCATGAAAAAAAAAAACAACTATTCGTTGGGAGGATCTGATTAATTCGAATAAAATTTTTGCCAATAGAAAATAAGTTTCAGTATATGGAAGTTAGTGTTGATGATTTTTACATCTCTTATTCATGACCTCACCGTCACACATTCTACTCATTCTAGATATTAGTAAATTCTGAAAAATATAATAAAATATTCTTTGGATAATTCGAAATCTGTCACAAGGCAAAAGATATCGCGAAACCTCGTTGGATAGTAGAATAATTCCACAGACATATTCTCATTGCTCCTTGTATCTTACACGCATCACGGGTTGCCTATAGATGTTTAGAGCCAAGCTGAAATATTTCTCTTTGGGCAAGGACTGATATCTTGACTTCGAGTCAACATTTTATAGACGATTCAGCAGACTTTTTCTTATTCCAAAAATGTAATACCACTTTGATAGTAATTAAAGAAGAAAAATGTTGAAATTAAAAAAGAAATAATTTCTTTAACTAAGAACGAATAGCCACCAGAATCATCAGATCTGAATTCACGTAACATCCGTTTTTTTAAGAAATTATCTTAATTAACAATGTTGATAACTCATTTAAAATTTACTGTTATTGTAGTTATGCCTCGTTGAGAAACATGTTCGATTACAAAAAAAAGGAGTGAGTGTATATAAAATAGCTGCTGTTGAACATTTATTTTTCTTGGCGGATTCTTTATTTATTTAAACCATCAAAAGAGCTTTATTTTGATATATGGGTCAAAGATAGGAAGGATGGTCAAATTGGAACAAAATTGACTAAATGTACCTATTAAATTTTCAGAGCGAAATTTTCAGATTCCAATTTTATCATTTTCTGGATTTATTTAAAAACCTATATGAAAATAAAAACTCTTTCTTTAGGCCAGTATTGCCACTGTACTCGAATATGGAACCAGATGTTTTTTGTGACGATGTCTTTCAGCAGCTGTCATCAGTTTCATTTTCTAAATGCAAACCTATTATTATTTTCGCGCCATTGTATTCCTTACTGCTTACACTGAAATAACTAAAAAAATATTTTTAATTATCTTTAAAGATGTTGGTTTTCACATTTTCATTTTCAAAAGCTTTTATAATTAGCGGACTATCAACTAAAAAGTAAAATAATTTAACTAACATTTATATTAGAAATAAAAGTTGAAGAAAAAATATATGTAGTTTCCAATACCTCTTGGAACTTTTGTTCTGACCTAAATTATATCTTATTCGTATATTTTGTTACTTATTCATATTTTGTTAATTTATAAGTCAATTGAAAAAATGGCACAAAAATATTTGAAAAAAAAGACACTGACGATGAATTTTCCCGTTCAAAATATCTCTAAACAGTAGGTACGTTATTCTACATCATTTTACTTAAAAGTAAATAAACAATCGAAAACATTAATATTCATAATTAATGTTGCAACATCTAATTCCATATTCGATTAGAGGAGCAAAGATGGCCTTTAGAAAGCGTTTCTCTTTTCGTAAAAGTTATATTCGATTTTAAACAATCTCTATATTAACAAACGCTATCGACATTATCAAATTAAAGCTCTTTTCATGGCCTATCCGATAGCATAAATAGTAATTTGATGTAGAGTGCTTTAAAAACAATCCGCCTCGCAATTATCAATTTTCAACAGTAACTATTTCGTTACAATGTTTTTATTTTGATAAACACAGTTAGTTTAAAGACCTTGAACTCTGTACACAAAAAAAAATCCTCAAGTAAATACGTAATTTCAAAGAATATTTCAAAATTCACCAGTCCATGTTTCGATTTGAAAAGCACACGGGAAAAACGATCTGTCACTTTTGGCAAGTTTTAAGATAAATCAGTTTTAAAGTTTGAAAGTGTCCCGTTATTACATACTGAAAAAAAACAAAATATATATTTGCCTTAACTAGATGATTTATTAACGTTTTGACAAAAAGTAAAGCGCAAGTAAGTATTACCAAAAACATTTTTTCCAAAAAAAAAAACAAACCTTAAAAATATATAATTACACAAAAAAGATGGAAAAACTATGCAAGTCCAAAACAAATTTTTTTTAAGCTTCCTTTTAGGTAACAAAAAGAACCACTGTGACCTCGCTCATTGGTTGTTTTTGGACAGATGTATTAAACTGTCAAAATGGTATGCTGTCATTAACATGTGAGCAAGAGGTTTCTCTTTTCTGAAGAGTGTTGTTTCTTTATAGTTCCTGCAAAGAAGGAATAACTGTTTTAGTTTTTGTTAAAAAATGATCAGTAAACTTACATCAAATTCATCATCACTCCTATTGTTATCTATGGTCGGCAACTCCAAATAGTAATTTTGATGTTCTTCAGCAAGGAATTTCTTTAGTTCTTGTAGCTGTAGGTATTTTTTTCTTTGGCACCGGAATAGCTTCTTTATATAATAATTTTGGGGATCCCTTCCAAGTCAAATTTGGCCCCGCAATAATGAAGCTTTGTTTCGCTCCGTTATAATTTTTCTCTTGTTTCTATTGTTCTTGGATGGTCATGGCGAATTTCTCTTAGCGGTCCTGTGGAAAATGGGCACTTCTTGTAGGTTGGTGCTAGAAAGTTATCCAGGTGAAAAACATGTCTTGCTTGCATTCTACAACATCAAATGGTCGTGGTTTGAATCTGGCGTTTTTAAAAACTTCCACTCATTGCTGTGGGACATTAGCTCCACTTTTTTGGTTAATTAGAACAAAGTCCTTATCACATTCAAGGTAGGAATGACTTTTTATAGGAAAAGTGACAATCACACAGTCAAAGCAAGTTTTTATGTACTAGGAAATGCAAAAATCTTAAAAGGGTATAATTTTTTTGGCCAGCGCAGGAATCACAGAAGATCTCTAAATGTCGTACTCATGCGTCAAGAAAATTAAAGCAAAAACACATCATTATGTATGTACTTATACAAAATAGACTGTAGAATAGAATAAATCGACTCCCCTCTTGAATCGGCTATCGGAGTTGGATCGGTTATTCGTACATTGAGAGGACTTAGATCGCTCTTTCATTGTACGCTTGATTTTAAACGCGAATATAAGATACTCGGTCTTTTAATGATTTACTATGGACGAAATAAAATTCGTATGTTAAACTACCATTTAGCGTAATAATCCTAATTTTCGATATTTTGGACTTTAACTTTTCTAAGCGAGATATTACTCGATATCCTTCGACCTTCGATATTTAAAAATCTATCCTACTGTTTTTCTCTTCTCTTCATATGAAAACATACAGTGGGGAAATACTTAAGTTTTGCATTATATTAAAATATTCAGATTTATAGATGAAATACACTTGTTTATGTCATGCCATATGCTGCAAAACAAAGTATAAATGGTTGCATATTTTTTATGCAACAGATTTCCTGCCTCCCAACTGTTTTCTATGGAGGTATTCTATTGCCTTGTAGTGAATTACCGTGACTGTAATACAAAGTAAGACTATTACAACATTATCTATTTACAGAAGATTATCGACAATCATGTCGCAATGGATGTTTCCTAGTAAATACATTTTTCTAACTACAGAAAATTTTCATATCCTACTTTTCTTTCTTAAACACGAATATTTGTAAAAATCATAAGTAGGTATATCTGAAAGGAGGCCACCAAAGATTTTCATATTTGCATGACATTGAAGAAACATTATACCAAATTATTACGCTAATAAATAACACTACCTAAATATGTAAAAAAAAACTGACGGTAATAGATCTTCAAAAATTTATCATCCGCTATGTATATTAATTGTACGTGACACATTTAACTCTTCTCACTATGATTAGTTTCACTTCTTCAACGTCCAGGTGAAAGTTAACTGTCTATAGATTGCCGCAACGGAGAGTATGTTTTACTGATATTACTCCGTTATAATGTGTTTCTGTTACAACTATAAGTTTTTCTTTGTAAAATAACAATGTTTTTGGATAAATGGTTTCAGTGATCATATTGGCATCTAAAGAAACAACAAAACAGGTAAGTATTTTGTGGCAATTGTAAAACATACCTATTACCTAAGAACATTTACCTATACATTTATCCATTAATGTTATGCAAGTAAAGACCCTATACAACAAAGACAAAAGGCTTTAGATGCAGTGATAGGTTTATTTTTGTTAGAGTATTTTTTCAATTTTTCTAAAAATTAGTTGAAATTTATTAGTCCTCTGTTCCTTTGTAGGCAGGGTTTCGTTTATTTCATTTTTATTTTTCAAGAATGTCTTGCTATTCATACAAAATTTACACCATTAATAATTGTATTGTTTATGATTTCAATTATTAGAGGTGCATGTGTAATACATTGTTAATAATTACAATTATGTTACATAATTTAATAAAAGGCTACATGAACAGGTCCTTAAATTCTGTTATAATTTGTAAAATTAATTTTTATACAGTGTATCCCACAATTGCGTCCTGAAGATGGAAAAATGTTTTACTTTGAATTTATGGAAAAAATCTATTCTTGATAAAGTTCACATTCAAATTTTAGAAAAATGTTAAAATGGCTCTCAAAGTACCACACATTTTTGAAATATCGAAATGTAGTTTTTCAAAAATAAAACAAATAAGTAGGTACCTACCTACTTAATTTTATATTAGTTACTTAGACATGTTTATGATTGTCATAGTGATGGCAAAATACATTGATTTCAGGTCAGGACTTTTAGGAGGTCATATAGATTTGTTGTTTTTTTTTCTATGTTAAATCATGGATGTACTGTTATTGGGAATTATGAAATTCTACTTGGTACCATAACATTAAAAATAGTATTTGTTTATATTTCTTAGTTAGTTGAATTTTAGAAAACATCCAGAATTCTAATGTTGTATAGGGTGTCTGAAACTCGATAGAAAGGGCCTAAAAAAATTTAAATAAAATTTAGGACACGTGGTGTTAAATGGTATGAGGTGAGCTCGATTTTCATTCGAAAGTATTATCTTAGGGATTTGACAGAAACGACTAATGACGTCATCAATTATATTTTTTCCAGAAATATACCCAAATGTTTCCCCTTAAAAAGCTCTCTTTTTTCTAGTAAACTTTTATTGGAAAAATTTGTATTACTTCCCGTTTAAAAGTTATAAGCAATATCGTCCTAAAGAGTCTCAAAAGAAATACCTACCACCAGTACCTCCTAAAAATCACAAGCCGGATCAAGTAGTCGTTGGAAAATAATTGAATGTTCGTTCATAAATGTCTTTGTGCATAAATGTCACAAAGAATAAATAAAAGGATTAAACTCGATAATTCTTTAATACAGTTAAAACAAAAGATGATGACAACAATAACTAAACTTAAAAAATGAGACAAACGCTTTCATACTACATGCATATTACAGTCTATTCTCTATATGACTTCCTCTTATTTCAAGATACATATCCAATCTTCTTTGTCGGCTTTGTCTTTACAAGCGTTTGCGATTTTTTCTTTCAAATGAATAATATCTCGTGAAGGTGTTTTGTAAATCTTATTTTTTTTTTTAAATCGAGGGGTGTTAGATTTGGTGACTTTCCGGGCCACTCAATCCCACTCCATTAAGCCCACTCCATTTTTCTGGGAGAGTGTTATCTAAATATTGCTGCACAATCCTGGCCTTGTGAGGTGGAGTTCCGTCGTGTTGAAACCATAGGTTTCTCCTTAGCTGCAAAGGCACATTCTCCAGAAGTGCAGCAAGTTCTTGTAGGAAATTTAGGTAACTCACGCTGTTCAATGTCTGTCCATAAAAATAAAGCCCAATTAAATGCCTACCGATGATGCCGCACCATACANCATAAATATTTTTCATGTGAAGCGTTTATTACTTAATTGAAATAAATATTTTAAAGAAATAATATTCTTTGTTCAAATACATGTTTGCATTGCGGATATGGGAAGATATTATTTGTTTAGTTTAAATTTTACTGCATTGAATTAAACAATTATTTTTATGTGTGTACTACATGCATATTACAGTCTATTCTCTATATGACTTCCTCTTATTTCAAGATACATATCCAATCTTCTTTGTCGGCTTTGTCATTACAAGCGTTTGCGATTTTTTCTTTCAAATGAATAATATCTCGTGAAGGTGTTTTGTAAATCTTATTTTTTTTAAAAATCGAGGGAGGGGTGTTAGATTTGATGACTTTCCGGGCCACTCACTAGGTCCATTAAGCCCACTCCATTTTTCTGGGAGAGTGTTATCTAAATATTGCTGAAAAATCCTGGCCTTGTGAGGTGGAGTTCCGTCGTGTTGAAACCATAGGTTTCTCCTTAGCTGCAAAGGCACATTCTCCAGAAGTGCAGCAAGTTCTTGTAGGAAATTTAGGTAACTCACGTTGTTCAATGTCTGTCCATAAAAATAAAGCCCAATTAAATGCCTACCGATGATGCCGCACCATACATTTAGTCCAAAGTGGCCTTGGTTTTGGACTGGATTTACAATGTGGGAATTTTCAATGGACCAGTAGTGTTCGTTGCGCCTGTTTGGTAAACAATTACTGACAAACCGACTTTCGTCCGTCCAGAGAACGTGCCGAAAAAGGTTCTGATCAATAGTTTCTACATTTACTACAATTTGAGCTATAAAGTTAAGTCTGTTTTCAATGTGACGCTCAGGCAAACACTTGTGAATTTTGTAGTCATGTTACCCATTAGTCTTTAAAATTCGTTGAGCGGCTGATTTATCCAAATTCAATTCCCGGCTAGCCTGCCGTATAGAATTTCGTGGATTTTGTTCGAAATACTGTAACAGTCTAGCTGTATTAACATTGTTTCTTACCCTTCGGTCAATTATTTGATTTTTCCGAGCAGAAAATGCTTTTTTTTTTCGTCGGGTGGTCTCCAATCTTGTAAAGGTTCTATGATCAGGAATGAGGCGCTCTGAATACCTTTCTCGATATAACTCTACAGCTCTTCTTGAATTTGTTTGTGACTGTAAATTAACAACATATCAACTTTTTCTGAATGAGAAAACATTTTGTAAGCACAAAAGTTATACGTTTGACGTTCGTGTTGAGTAATGACAAGTATTTTGTGACATTTATGCACTTTAAACAACGCACATTCAATTATTTTCCAACGTATTTGAATCTTCCACCGCTAATGTGATTTTTAGGTGGTATTTCTTTTGAGGCTCTAGGACGATATTGCTTATAACTTTTAAACGGTAAGTAATACAGAAACATTTGTCGAATAAAAGATTATTAGAAAAAAGAGAGCTTTTTAATAGGAAAAAAATTTGGGTATGTTTTTGGAAAAAATATAATTGATGACGTTATTAGTCGTTTCTGTCAAATCCCAAAGATAAAACTTTCGATTGAAAATCAAGCTAACTTCATCCCATTTAACACCACAGGTCCCAAATTTTATTTAATTTTTTTGTATCCTCACAGTAGGCCCATACTATCGAGTTTGAGACACCCAGTACTATCATATAAGATTTCACAATAAAAATAACGCTTTCGATAATGAAATAAGAAAATCGAATTTTTTAAGGTGAAATGGCATAATACTTTTATTACAAAATAATTGAAACTATATGTTTACTCCTCCCTGGCAATGTTTCTTAACGCTACTTCTCCTCATTTCAGAAAATTGAAGTTCTTTATTTTGGTCATTTTTAAATTTTGCAGATTGTATAGAAAAATCTAGAAAATGATATCATTTCTAAGAGTTTAAGAACAAACACGAAACTAAAACTTTTTATCTTTTCTTTATAAAATCAGGAAATAGTGGTATTCCTTTAAAGTTTAAGAACAAGCAGTAAACTTTATAGAGGACAACGTTTACTCATAACATTGGATTTACAAGCTACGCTTATAAATTTGCATGTTAAATAGTCTGGGTTATTACGGAAAACACGTATTCCGAAAGTTACAGTACCTAATATTTGACATTGCAGCAAAGGCATCGATAAAACACTTATTAAATGTTCTACGTCATTATACAAACAACATTTTAATTATGTTTGCAAGTTTTTCTGACTGTTTATGATCATTTCCTTTCATTTTGGAGGTAACCTATAATATGAAAATATTGATGCATATATTTCGACCGCAGATGCAATCAAATATATTTGTGTCTACATGTTACACAAGGGCAAGCTGTTAAAAATGTGAAAAACAAATTAAAAAAGAGTACTATTCAGAAAAAAGGTTCGTATGAATGTAAGTGTAGTTAATGTGTGAAAATGCCATCCCATGTTTATATCTTCCAAACGTGTTAACCAAATCAATTCAAACTTTATAAACGTATTACTCTAGTGATAGGGTACAATTTGAGTATGACAATGATAAATGAGATAATTCAGGGGCGCGTATCCAATGGAATTGTAATCTTATCGCGTTTCCACACTCGAGGTAGCCGAACTAATTTTGAAGGAGTGGAAGAAAACTGGAACTAAGTTTACAATGACGTCACAATAAGAAATGATACAGTGTTTCCCGATCTTAAATTTTTTCAGAATATTTAAGAATAGGTAAAAATTTTTGATAGTGAACCAAGATTATTAAAATTGTAGCCTAGAACCACAGGTTTTGAAGTCCATCTAAACAATTAAGGAAAGAGTAAAAAAATTTAAATTTGGTTTAGAATCATGCGGACAAATAACTGAGCGGTTAAAGTGATTTCTCTACCAGCTCATGATTTATTTATTTTAAGTTTTTAAGGCTTTAGTTTACGTTGATGATGCTTTTTTTTTAATGTACAGGGTGATTCACTATATTTTGACCCCCTTTTAACTTTTTTGTTTTAAGAATTATAAAATAATGTAAAATACAGAAGTTGCACGATTTTTTATGAAGTTTTCGAAAATGAACTAGAAAAACAAATGAAGTTCAAACAAAATGGACGCGGATGTTAACTTTGTTAATTTAAATGGAACACCCTGTATATTTTTACATATTTGGAAAGAACGTTCCTTGTCGAGCATAGTCATATAGGGTTTGTTGGGTCCATCTCTAATAATAGGCGAGATAATATTAAAAAACGA